GTGTGTGTGTATGTATGCTTGTTGCGATTTGGGTGTGCCCGTCTATTGTTTTTTTTTTTGTGTTATCTTCGGGTGTAGCGCAGCAGCTCGCACCCCCCACACGCAGTTGCTGTTTGGCGCGCGGCTCTCAACATTCTCAAGAGCGAGGGGCCGGTACGACCATACTTGGCCAAATGCACCACATCCCGTCCGATTTGTGAAGTTAAGCGGTCACAGGCCTCGTTAGTACGGCGATCAGTGATGGCGCTGGAACCCGGGGTGCCGTACCCTCTTCTTTTTCCCCCCACACACACTCTTTTTCTTTTCTTTTCCGTTTCCTCCCGCCCCGCGCCACCCGCTAACCCGCTAGGCGCCCCGTGCGCGCCTTTGCCATCGGCAGGCAAGTAAATAAACAAGCAAATGTGTTTATCGCCGCCGCATGCCCCTCCCGGCCCCTAACCCACGTCGCCCCCGCACAACTGGCAGAGGCAGAAGGAGAGGGATGGGCCGGGATGGGGGGGCCCCGCCCGGGAAAGGCGGCACGCGTGTGCCCCCTGCACCTCGGCCCTTCTTGCCCCCCTTTCCTCCTCCCCTGGTGGCGAGTGTGTGTGAGAGAGAGTGTGTTGCATGTGCCCGGGTGTGTGTGCATGTGTGGAGGAGATAGGGAATCGCACCAGGTGGGTGGTTAGAGAACTACAGTAAAAAAAAAAGAACATCAAAAAAAGAAAGGAAAAAAAAGGAAAAGTCCCGCATCAGAAAAAAATGTCTGTAGCTGTCGCTCTTGAACCCCGCGGCCCAAACCCGGATGTATAGATGCGACGCCAGAAAAAAGCAGTGCATGAAACATCATCCGATGAGAACTGATTTTCGTGGGGGCGGCAAAATTCAAAAGCCCCAAAAGAGTTGTAGGCATATACGTAATCTTCTGGAAAGAGTTTGAGAAAGGACGCAAATATAATGGAATGCACACCGCAACGAAGCGAGCAAAAAGGAAAAAAAATTATTACCTCAAACTCTATCAGAGAGAGAGGAGACAATCACACAGACACACACACACACGGACACGCAGAAAGCCCATTAACAGGGAACGCTTTGCGTCTTAGAAGCCACCCCTGCTGCGCACCCAATCGCATTTTAACCCTAAACACCTCAAATTCCTTTGCGGTGGTGATTGATTCACACTTCTCTTCCAGTTATTTTTCCAAGAGTTGATGAAACCTCTTTGTGGCCAACTAGAATCTTTCCATTATTGGTTAATTCTCACCAGATAACCTTTTCCCTTCCTCCTCATCCTGCGCGAAGGTATCGCTAGATTGCATCTGCCACCTAATTCGCGGATAATAGCAAGAGCAGAGTCAGTAGAAATGGTGTAGTTAGTTGGGTTGAGCTGCCGCCAAGAGGAGGCGCCGCTGACATGTCAACGGCATGGCGGTTGATGATGTCGTCAAACATGCTCTCAGTGGCCGCCGCAATCTTGCTTCTGCCGAGAGAGAGTGTCCGGACCTCACTGGGTTCAAGTCTGCGGTTATACAGCAAGACGTTTTCCACCGTTATATGGCAGTCTGCACCCTTATCGCTGGTCCCATATCTACCAAAAAAGAAGTGGGACACGTCAATTCCATTTAAGTGTACGCCTGAAAGCATTTGTCCCGAGCCCTGCAATGGATCTCCGTCAACGTAGACGGAGCCGAAGCCTTGTTCAAACGCAAGTGCCACGTGGTACGTTTTGTTCAGTTTCCACGATCCAGTTGAGGGAGAAGTTGCTGGCCCATACATTGGGCACCACTGAAGCTTATTGTCGTACGACAGCCCCAGGAGTTTCCTGTTCCCAGAATTATCCAGGCTCACGCCCAGCAAAGGCCTGATACGAGTCGGAATCTTGTGAATAGTTACCGTCGCCACCAGCGTGAAGCGGTAGTTTGCAAACTGGTACCGTCGGTTCTGCCCCTGCCTGCGTACCGGCCACACTGCCCCTGCATTTCGTCCTTTGAACGTAAAACCATGACCCACATTAATTCCATGTATTATGCTTGCGTTTACGCAGCGGTACACGTCCTCCCAGACGCTTTCATTGGCACTGAGTGACAAGAATCCAACAAGGCCGGCGGTGGGGACAGCGGCCCTGCAACCACCCTTTGATGGCGGAGTGCCAGGATCTGCAGGGGTGCAGATGCTTGAGAGGTGGATGTCCTGTGCCTTCCAGGCCCGTACCACGGATTTGATGAGACGCAATTCCTCAATTAAACGTACAAAGACAATACTGTACACCTCGTCAGTGTTGACCTCGTGTAAACAATACAGCTTATCATCCTTGTACAGGACGGAGCTGTAGGCGGCATTCTCATCGCCAATGGAGACTTGCCCAACATCGAAAATACGCTGATTGTCAGTCAGCCAAAGGTGCAGTCGGTCGCGCAGCCACAATCCCTTGAAGTTCAGCGGGTGGGTAAAGAGCATCACACGCTTCCCCTCAATCGTCACCGCAATAAAGCTGCTCTGGCTGCCGGGCTGGTTCGGTATTGGTGAGGTGCCCCACACACGGGAGAGTGTGCCGAGAGCCTCCGTCCACGTCTTCCCCATGTCATCCGACTCGTATACCAGGCGGTGGCGGCCGTCAACACGATTGTTCATGATGAGTTTCCCATCCCACTCAAGTACCACGGGTTCAGAGCAGCCAAACTCGCTCCTGCCCTCCGCGAACTTCCACGTGCTGCCATCGTCCTCGGAGTACATGATCCTTGCGGAAAGCCGTTTCTTCATGTCCGCAACCTGTACAGGGTATACCAGATTCCCATTAGACGCCACAATGGCAACGCCCGTGCCGCCAAGGTACGCTTTTGTGGGCGTTCCTTCAAACTCTGCCGGGAACAACGACTTCAGTGATACAGGCTTCCCCCAACTGATATTTGCGGTTGTCTTGCCGTCCACAGTAGACTTCGTGACCTCACCAACAGAGAGCAGAGGCTCCCAGTCGCTTCCATCAGCGTGTGACGTCCAGTAGCCCTTTGACTTGTTGAAGCTTCCCACCAGGACGTAAAGCTTGTTCCCCTTCACGATCACTGTGGGGTCCACCACACGGGAAACGGAAGATACGCGGCTGTTCTTGATCGCAATTTGTGTCTCCCACGTCTCCCCATCGTCCACGCTGTACTTGACGACCGTCTCAATGAAGGAATTATCGTTGGCCGTGTCGTAGCGGGCATCCGCGACGGCAACCATCACCCCATCCACGTCAACAAGGGCGGGAAGGCGAAACGAGTCAACTACCCGCTCTCTGACCGTGCCATTATTTTCTTCAAATGGCACCGTGGAACTTTTGCGCTTAAAAAGCTCAACTCTGGGCCTCTCTCGCTCACGCGCGTACACAGGTTTGTCGCCGTGCTCCAAAAGCAAAAATAACAAAATCCCACAAAGCACAGAAAATCCCATTTCTGCCTCTCAGATTAGCACTTCAACAAGACTCTCGTCTTCAGAATTCCAAGAGCCAATAATAGTATTTGGCAGCCGCTCTCTCCAAAAAAAAAAGGCTAGAAAACAAGATCAGAAAGGGAAGATAACGAAATAAAAAAAAGGAACCAAAACAGTACAACAAAGACAGCTTTGTCGCTTAGTAGCCTGAAGGTTCAGCATACGATACAACGGAACCACAGAGCAGAGGAGTTGAAGAAAATATAAAAAGTAACGCACGAGAACGCCATCGACATTCCCACAGACGCACAGACACAGCAGCAGCAGTAAGACCTCAAAAAGCAAAACAAAACGAGAAAACAAGAGCCAATCTATGGGGCTGTGTGCAACTCGCAGGCGCTACACGGCGGGGGCATCAGCATCCGGAGACGTCATTCGCGTCGGAAGCGCCGAGCCGGCCCACGCACGCCGCGTGGCTGTTAGCGCGCGAGACGGGCAGAACACGGGCGATGAAAACAAGGTGAGGGGGCGTCGTGGGTGCGGGCGCCCGCCCCCATCACCCCTGCTCCGTCTAGGGCGAGAAGAGGGGCGGCCGCCGCCGCACGCCTACGCGCGCTCGCCGCGGAGGCAGAGGGCCAGGTGGATGTCCTTCGGCTGGACCGTCACGCGGCCGCTGTGGATGCACGCGCGGTTGGTGTCGGCGAGCAGCGACACGACGTACGACTCCGTCGCCTCCTGCGCCGCGAGGATCGCGCTGCTCTGGAAGCGCAGGCCCTCCTTCTGCGCCCCCGACACCTCCCGCACCAGGCGCTGGAAGGGCGCCTT